TGTGTGTGTGTGTGTGTGTGCGCGCGCGCGCGCGAATATCTTTTTAGATTTGTATATGTATATAATTTGTTATATAGCAAGTTTACTTGTATAATATATAATATATAATATATAATAATATATAATCAGTACTTATTCTGTATTGATATGTTTGTTTGTTTTTAATTAACTGTATATATTTTTAATCAACTTTACGTATTATTATAATATTTTCAGTGCAATTGCAATAAAGTTTTTTCGTATATAATTATTTATTCTTTATATCATATTTATTATTCCTTACTAATATAGATTCATTCTCATCAGTACTGGACAGAAAGAACATTTGCATTTTCCCTTCTATTATATTAATAAATGTAAATAACACATGTAAATAAAAAAAAAAAATTTTTTTTCTATTCTACTGGATCGCTATAGAAATTCATGTTTATGTTATTATAGGTACATGTTTCCATGTTTTCACCTTAATCAAATTGTAAGTGATATTTCATTTTAAAATTCATTTTATAGTATACTATATGATATGTCTTCGTGGTTGGATTAGTTATTTTTATCGACTTTCATTTATATTTCTCGTCTTAAGGTTATCGCAATGTCTGCGTTTTCATGGACGAGTATTGGGTGTTGTGATTGCTTTTCATTTTTATTTAACAAATATTAATTTGTTTATAAAATTTAAAGAAAATTAACATTCCTTGCTTTTATCGAGTAAATTATTACGAGGAAGTGTATAAATAATTGTGAATTAATGTAGAATATTGACTTTTTTAATAAACAGAAATCTGTTGAATTAAATTTGTATTGAATTATCAAAGTAATTGTAAATGTACGTATACTTAGCTTAACTTTAATTTTTATATCTTACGTTAAATTAATATTAAGCAATAATAGTATAACGATCTATTTTTATAAGATCCTTACTTGAATTTAATTTTTTTTTTTTTTTTTTTATTAATTTCATGCTAGTTTAGGATATTTATTAATAAATTTAACTTTAATATTAAATATTGATTGAAGTCAATATTTTGAAAAATATGAGAAAATCGCTTTCTAAAATTTCTTAACAAATTCTAATAAAAGTTTTCAGAGTAATACATCGATCTGGTTATAATTTGATTAAATTCATAAATTTAAGTTTATATCAATTAATGCATCGTGAACAGCAGTTTATGTAGACTGTCTATGCAGAATAAAAATATTTCAAAATTAAATAAGCATGAATATTTTGAATTAGCTATAACATATAGTTAAGGTATATATTATTTTAATAATTTGACTATTACATCAGGAAGAGCAGGAAGGATTGTCCGGTTCAGCGATAATAAAGCTGTAAAGGAATTTTAGGTTTCGGTGATTGTCGACAGATTATTTAATTTTAAATTCTATTAAAGGAAAATCTGATTTTTACTTTTTATTAGAATTAACTTATTAATTGAATGAAAGAAACTAAATTGCTGAATTAAAAGTAAATTAAACACAGATTAACCAAAGTTCATTTCTTTTCATTTTAAACTTTACATTTTAATTGCTGAAATCTATAATATGTATATTTAACAAATTTAGATATGATAATGAAGTTTACGGAAATGAGTTATTGTCGAGTCTATTGAAAAATTTTGTACTTTAAAGACAAATTAAAATTAAATCATACAATTTATTATATTAATTCATATTTATTAATTTTTTTTTTTCCCGAAAAAAAAAAAAAAAAAAAAAAAAAAATAACAGTTCTTTATTCGTAACAGGAAATTAAAAATAGCATTGTATTATGAACATTCCATGATGAAAAATATTACAAAAAATCTCAGCAAATGTTTTAAGCTTTGATATGTTGAAAAAATTATATCATTAACATTAAGCTTAAAGTAAAGATTGATCAAACATTACGAGTATGTATAAAGCAAAAGAGAAAAGATAAATATTTGTTAAAGAAAGTAGGGATTAAAATATAGTTGAAAATATTGAATCCATTATTAATTAAAAAAAAAAAAAATTAATAAGAACGTTTCCTTTTTCAGTTCTTTTTACTTACTTCCTTTATATGATACGTTTACTTTCATTTCTTATTTTGTTTGTTCTTCTTTATTTTACCTGATGTAAATGCATTTAATATGCAAATATTACAGAGTTCACGAAACAACCGTCGTTATAATTCATATTTGTTTTATTTTTCCTTCTTTAAAGTTTTTTTACTTATATATCTACATCTATTTTCTAAATGTTTTTAAAAATTTTTTTCTATGATATGCATATGTGCTTTTGTGTGCGTGTGTGTGTGGGTGGGTGGGTGTGGGTGGATGTGGGTGGATGTGGGTGGAAGTGTGTGTGTGTATAAGAAGTATGTATAAGTGTATGGAAGTGTGTGTATATATATATATATATATATATATATATATATATATACACGTATATGTCAACGTGCACAGACACGTGTACAAATATTTTTATTATTTATTATCTAAATGTTTAAAGTCACTTTTGTCATAGACTTAAAATTTTTAATCCGATTTAGCACGGAGTAAAAAAACTAATAATCGTAAATAAAATGTTTATTGATGAGGATCGATGATTAATAATTAAAACGACAGCTCTTGAATCGTGGCCTTATAGGTTTTTATTATTCACTTTCCTTCATTTCTTTTATTTAATTTTCCTACCTCGCGCTGATGATAATAACATTTCCCTGACGTATTCGGTATCTCATTACCATCGCTCCCTCGACTCTTAGCGCCGTGATATGTTTTATACCGTCGCAGTAGATTTCATAATATATTCTTATAGTATGTATATATTTTGTGTATTATGGCTTTCTTGATATTTCTCGTCGTTGTTGTTATTGTTGTTGTTGTTTTTTTTTTTTTTTTTTTTTTTTGTTGTTTTTGGTTTTGTTTTTATGGAGTGTTCTCTTACCCTCCGCGTATTTAGTGTCACTATGCCTACGAAAATATCGTATAGCTTTGCCTATGTTTGTCATCATTATATTCTGTTCATATTTTGTTCATGTTATATCATCTCACGTATGTTCTTCGATAAAGATAACATCAATAAGTTACGCGAAACTTATTCTGTTTTTTATTCTTTATTTGAAAATTGTTTGAGAATGCGAAATGGTAGAGTTCAAAGTCTCCTTTTTGTGGCATTACCGCGTGAAATCTTGTGATTACGAAAAGAAGTTAAAAAGGAAGGCTTCGAATACTCGGTCCTGCAAATTCTCCAATTAATTCTTACTTAATGATCATATTGTCGTAGATTCTGTTTGAATCTATAACAATGAATTACACAAAAACTGCAATCACAGGCTAAATTCTAGTTACTGCTTATATAATGTTAGAATTTAACAAGAATGAGTTTAATTATTTTATGAAAGAGAGGCTGAAATCGAAATTGCCTCAATTGCTATCAACATTATCGAGATTGTACTTGCGGACATGCGGATTGATAGTACTGCAGCTTCACAGTACTTGTGATACTTAATCATCACATCGTTTCTACTTTCATTTTTATCGGGATAGACGTTTTATTTGCATTTATTAAAATGAAGAAAATATGGTTTTCTTACTTTTTTTGTTTTTGTTTTTGTTTTTGGTATATTCGTTAGACGCAAAATAGTTTATATAGAATAATATATAGCGATTATTATCGCTAATATATACTTATTCTTCAATTTAATGTTTCATTAACGCAGTAGGCAATCTTCATTATTAAAATTAACTTTTAACTTTCAACTTTCAATTTAATCTTGGCTAAATGTACTTATACGTTTGTTCTTTCTTTTAATTTGCTTTATTTCTTAAGAAGCTGTTATGTTTTAATGTTTATATGCGTACGCTCGGAAATTTTCTTCTCGGTATGTATTACAGGGTGAATGTCGTTAAAGTTAATTTTGTGATTTTTCTTTTAACTGTAGCTTTCGTTAACCAATGCATAATCAATACGAAATAATTGGTTATTAGCTTCTAAAATCGATTAAATTTTTCACTTTCATTTTCACATCACCTGTAATGTCATCATTTTACTTTCATTTATGTAATTGTCAGTAAAACACATGGGATTGCTTGACCATTTCATTTACGTAAAAAGAATTGCGAATAATTTGAATCGTAAAAAAATGCTTAACTTCGACTCGATTCTTCACAAGTTCAATTTAAGTTTTTCATTTTTTTTTTGTTTTTTTTTTTGTTTTTTTTTTCATTCTTTCCAAGTGCACATTTTTATTTATTCCGAGATGAATCGCACTGCATGAATAGATGATGGCTTTGGTAAAAAAACTTGGAAGGATAGAGCTGACGTCAGGTTCTTTGTGCTAAGTTGGTATATCGGTGTATTGGACTTATTTTGTAAGAACAACCGATGTGTCGACCGCACAGTTGTGCTTCGAACACATTAATCGAGAAAGCCAGTGTCGACGAGCTTCTCGAGAAAGAACTTAACGTCGCCCAGCTCGGAGTCTTTGATGCCAAGAGACTTTAGTAAGCCGATGTCACCATTCTCCACTGCCATGAAAACCGAACGCAGATGTTCTAGGTCCGAGCGCATCAGGTGCAAAGCCGCTCCAAAGTCGTCGATTGTCTGCGACTCTTGAACAAGAACACAAAAAATGAAAATGTAGCGTTGGTTGTTTGGTTTGAGCCTAAAAGCTTATAAGATATGCGAATTATTTATTTTTTAACTTTATAGGGCGATTGCATCGATATAAGGAATTTCTACATTTTTCGTGCTTCGAGTGAAAAATTAATAACCATATAATGTGGCAGAACTTGAGAGTTCAATAGATGTGTAAGAAAAAAAAACTTTTTCATATTTTCGTATGTTTACTTGATAATTAATTCAGTAATTAATTACTTATAAGAACTTTATAATATATTTAAGTGAAAAATATTTAAATGAAAATCTTTTTTATATTTGATTTTGTATTTGTTTTAAATTCAATTAGATATTCGATTACTTATGGAATAATTAAGTATATGTATATAATATTGATAATAAAGAGTTGTTAATCTTTAATATAACCTTCATTAATTTGAATAAGCACTATATTATTCCTTCTAATGATGGAAAAAGTGTAGAAATGAAAATTTATAAATAAATTGCATATATCATCATAATTGATAATTCATGTATTTTAAAATAAGAGCATTGATCCATTGGGTTTAAAACAGTATTTATTGTCTATAGATTTGTGTTTTCATCATCAACTTATTTCTGGCATAGAATATGATTATTCAGAAAATTTATTGTATTGTTTGTTTAATGTAAATTGGACGATACTATGGTCGCACAATGGTCACAATCTGCGACAAAAGAAGTGCGCATTAAATATTTATCAAACGTTGATCAAACGATTTTATAATTCCAAAGCTACATCGAATTTATTAATGTATATACAAATTAAGAATGAGTTTCTCATTACATTAGTTACATAAGAAAATGTGATAACTAATTAGAATCGTGCATGAAAAACCATTAATTTTAAATTAAAAAATTATATTCAATAAATATGTTAGACACATGTGAGTACAATAAATATTGAATACAAGTTTAGAAATTGTTGTATAATATTGTTGTATAATATAAATTGTATAATAATATTAAGATATTGAATGAATAATATAATATTTAAAATAATTTATAAGCACGTTAAATGTTAAAATCTAATTAAAATTATTATTTTTATTTCGACGGTGTTTTTTTTTTCTTTTAAATTAAAAAGCTAAAATATATACAATTAAGTGGTACGATTTACTTAATAAATTGATTAAAATAGATTAATAAATAGGTATGTAAATTTATTCAATCGTTATATAATACTGCATATATAAATATTATTGACAAATAAAAAGAGAAGATAAAAAAAATAATTAAAATGTTGATTATAATTTATACAATTAGTGAAATATAAATAATATATAAATGCGAAAAGTTCGTAATTATACGAATATTCATAATTATCGTAAAACAACAACAACAACAACAACAACAACAACAACAACAACAACAACAACAACAACAACAACAACAACAACAACAACAACAACAACAACAACAACAACAACAACAACAACAACAACAACAACAACAACAACAACAACAACAACAACAACAACAACAACAACAACAACAACAACAACAACAACAACAACAACAACAACAACAACAACAACAACAACAACAATTATAATACATAAGAGAGACCTATATAAGAAAAGCAAAGAATAAAAAAATTATTTGCCCATAAAAGAACGAGGAATTTAAATATGTTAACAAAATAAATGTTTCACGTTGCTCTCTTGATTTTCTCTCATAAAGACTATGAGAGACCGAGAGATATAGAGGGATAGCAGAGAGATTTTTTTCAAAGAAATGCAAATTCAATATCATTCACGATAAACGGAGTTCTGTTAATGACTTAAAATAGAAAAAATAGGGACACTGACGGACAGATAAAACATTAGATAAATGTATGGGTAGACAAGGGGAGAGAAAAATAAATAAAAACATTGAAAGCTTACCAGATAGGGCTATTGCGACCTTATTTACTCCTCCGAGTGGAGCAAGAGCATCTCTCGCCTTACTGCCAAATAGTTTTTCAAGATAATTAGGCCCGTGGCTGGCAAGTAGTGCCTGTAAGAAGCTCGCTGTTTCCTCCACAGGTGGTCTTTTGGCTGTGAAAATATAAGACACACGTTGCTGAAATATTTATTTTGGGTTGAATTTAAATATCATTCCATTATTCCCGCTGCTTTTCTGCTGAAATTACAATATCTATGTTTGCTCGAATAGCACATTCAGCAGATTATTAAACATCGCTTAGAGCTTTAGAGCTGTGCTTCTATTCAATGCAAAATTACACTTTCCTTATTATTATATTGAAGTGTTGATATGTACGCAATTTTCATCAAATGCACACGTGCGCACATTAAATTCCTTCATTGTCAATCGTACCTTTTCAACTGACCTATTCAAATTACACGTTCTAATCTTCTTTACAATTATTAATGAATGAGCTTTATTATTATAGTTATTCCATCGATTATTAATTATCGTACGATCGATGGGCATTCAGAAAGAATTTTCACACATTTATTAATTTTAATCAATTTTCTTTATTCGTTGAATATTGAAATATATTTGATTCTCTTATAGGGAGGTGATGTGATTTACCAGCTAAATGTATACATTTAAACTATTTCATTAAAGAGCTTAAATATTCAAGAACATATTGTGAAATTTGGTGAATTCAGTCCAATCGATACATGTGTAAGTTTTAGATGGCCGATAAAAGGGAAGAATTATTAAGCAGATATTTATAATAATCTAAAACTTCAAAATTCTTTCAAGTCAATTTTATGAAGTAATTTATTTGCCGAACTAACATGCAGATGTTTTTGAAATAGTTGAAATGCTATTTGAAATAGAATCAAAAGTATCGATAAAGAAGTTTATGAAATTTCAACATCTGTATGGACATATAGATATATTTTTTTTTTTTTTTTTTTTTTTTTTTTTTTAGCTAATCGTAATTAGTTAATTGACACTGAAAATATTTTTAAATTAAAAAAGTTGTTTTTCAATTCTCATTTTAAAATTACGGGCTCTACTCTACTCTCATTTCTGTTTTAATAATTCAAAATTTTCAATAATTAGTCCATAGTTTTTCTATTTTGTATAACTCTAATTATATGTTTAACTTTAGTTAATTTCAATAAATATAATTTCATTATGATATATTATCACATTAGTTATGTTTTATATTATGTATAATAAAATCCTCAATAATTTATAAGAGTAGGATCAACTAGTTTAAATATTTGTTTATTTTATATCATTTTCTTCAAAATTAACATATTTCGATAATATAAAAGTTTTACAAATTAACATTATAAACATCTCTTCAAAAGTTCTATTATTGTAGTTATTTTTTCCAGAATTCGGTATAATATGATATTTTGAGAATTATTCTTTACAGAATTATTCGATCAGTGTAGGATGTTATGCTAGAATTTCATTTAAACAAACATGTGGTTAAATAACAATAAATAAAAATAAAGGTTAGTATATAAAATTGCATAGATTAATTTACTCGAGATTTTTAGATAATCGTTGCTAAATTTATAATTATTTGTGTAATTGAATTAGAAAAAAAACTCTACGATCTTAAATGTATATAATATTTTAATTGATAAATATTAAAATGTGGAATGCTATCATAGGATACAAATATTTAAAAGATTTAAGGGACTTATGAAAAGAAATATTTCTATCCGATACATCACGAATTACTTATTTTTATTCACTTAAAACTTTTATATTTATTTATTTATTTGCATATTTATAATGCAGATTCCCAAAAAAAAAACAACAAAAAAAACATTAAAATACACTTTTCATTTGTTAATTATTTTATAATATTTGGAATTTCTGATTACTTTATTAAACCAGAGTTTAAATATTCGTTTATAACTTACATTAATATGATTTGCCAATCATGCTTTTCCTATTATTTAAGAGAATATTTAGATGTAATTGCGATTATAATCTAGTTAACAAAGTAATTTAAGTCTTATAAGTACTTAGAAATTTGAAACATTAAAACTTTTACCCTTTATTAATTTTAATATTCGATTAAATTTTTAGTCTCACTAGTAGTATTCATGGGCTACTTGTATTAATTGAATAGGAGAATTAATTATTTAATATAACTTTCACAAATTACAATAGAATATTAATTTTACAAAATGTCACTGATTTGAAGTAATTTTTATAAAATTTTCTTACGATTCATAAGACTTTTTAAATTAAGTTAACATTTCAAATTGACAATTAGCAGTATTTCATGTTACAATTGGACTTTCATTTATACTAATTTTGTATAAAAGCACATGTATATTTCATGAATAACGCACAAAGGTTATTAATTATGTTTAATTTAATGGTATCAAATTTGTGATTGGTTGAAAAGAAAAAAGTTTGTATACCTATGAAAATGAATTGTTCGAGAAAATTCATGACAATTTATTGTACACTTAACATAAATACATGTCTAGTCAATTGAGCTACTTTTATTTGAAATTAATTGTAACACCATACGAATAAATTGTATATATATATATATATATATATATATATATATATATATATATATATATTGTTTCATAAAATTTCTCTAATTAAAATATCAATAATATTATTACCAAAATGTATAAATTATAATTGATATTGTAATGTTTTTATGCTAAGTAAAATTTTATTTTTATATTTTATTTGAATCATGTTAATAATTTATTATTTAATGATATTTTCATATCTGTGAATAGGATGCTTTTTTCTATCTTACTATTAATTTTTATAAAAATAGATAAAAAATTTTACGTAATAACGTTTACACATTCATACTGTCTGATTTATTTAATATTTCTTACAAACATTATGAAAATTAAATGAGTGATCGATAATTACTTAATATAACAATAAAATTTAATTAAAAATAAAAAACAATAGCAAGTTTTATTACTTCTTAAAATAAAAAAATTTACTAAATATTATTATTCATTATTTTATTTATTATATCATATATTTTGATTATTATTATATTATCACTAATATTATTTTATATTATATAATCGATATAATTATATTTGTAGCTTTACATATCAATTAAGGGAAATAAAAAATCCTAATTTTATATGCAGATTCGATAATTTCATTGATCATTAATTTTCTATTTTAGTTTCAAATAATATATTATGTATTTGTAATTGTTTAATCCTTGTAAATAATTTCAATTTTCTTACATTCTATTTATATCTTATACATATAATATAAATAAATTGAAAATAAATGAAAAACGATTTCATCAATTTAAGTCAGTTCACTAATAATAATTATTTAATAAAAATTAATATAGTAGGAAAAATGAATTCTGATGTTTTACTGATGATTTTGCCACAAAATTTTTCTATCAAAATAATACAAAAATAGTATAATTAATTATACATCTTTATACAATTATAAGATTTTTTATGTCGGTGGTTATATATTTTCAGTGTTAAAGGAAAGCTTACATGGTGACGTATATTATTAGTATTTATATTGTATATACTGAATACACTCATAAAATTATTCTTATTCCTATTATCTTATGCTTTTCGGACGATATTTTTAAAAATGTTCGTTTCATTCAAATTTATCACGTATAAATATTGATGGCGTGTTCAAAATCGATTTAAACGGCTTTTAAAACGTCAAATAGACGATGGTTACATTCATCGGCTATTAATTTAAATAAATTTTAATTTAAATAAATTTAATTTTTAATAATAATTTCATGAAAATAAATAATATTATATAATGAAACTAGCATCTTCAACTATTTAAAAATAAAAAGTAATAAAACATAAAAGATTCCTTGCGAACTGTTTTGATGATTATCATTATTATTTTCAACAGAAAGTTTCTATTTTTTTTTTTTTAGTATTTTTTCTAATAAATAAAAACTTATCCATTTATATATATATATATATATATATATATAATTATAATTATAACAATTTTATATAGCTCAAGAATCATTTTATTTAGCTACGTTATATTTTTTCCATTAAAAGTATAAATTATACAAGATTTCAGTGGAAAATATTTGTAGATTTAACTATGTAGATATAATAAGATATATTTGCAATATATCTGATAATTACAATACTTTTTCTAAAATTTCTTCAGTATAATCAAATAATAAAATTGAAAACAACTCAATGGGTATTATAAAAAAAAACAAATAAAACAAATTGTAATGAAGTAGAATTCAGAAAGTAAATTTTAAATAATTATAAAAAAAATATATAAGTCAATTTTTAACAAAAACCTTACAATAATGTTATATTTAAAAATGAAAACCTCTTTATACCTATAAAGGTTTGTTATATACTTGATATATGTCAATTAAAATATAAATTTGAGGAATACCAAAATTAAGTAACTTTATGTCCTTCATAATAAAAATTTAATATTTAATTTTTGTAATATTTTTTTCCAATAACTTAAAGAATATTTTGATATCGTTCCTCCTTCCAATTCTTCCGTATCGTAATTGTATCGAGGGATATCTCATTAAAAATCAAAATCTCTTATCAATATAAAACAACAAAAATCTTTTATTAATATCACATATGCCGACGAGACATATACATATGCACACGCATTTGATGGCGCGTATTTCACATTACAAGTGACATACGACATGTTGTCATTCATCATAAAAAATAACATGAATACAATTCATCGCTTTAAAGTGCAAATTGATCGTACAAGCGAAGCCCATAAAAATATGAGAAAATGTGTGCTTTGAGGATTGGCATGTGAGTTCTATAGAAGTTACGAGAAATATTGGAAAAGGCCAGTTAGAACAAGATTATATGTTTCGACTTCAAATGGCTATGAATATAAAAAAGCGATGTAAATAGGTTATTTCATATTATTATTGTTATCTGTATCGATTTCATAATAATCATAAATTTCTGACGATGTTTCAAATTAATTTCCAATTTGTTAATTATTAAGCGATCTTAATCTGGGATTTATTATTTGGACTTTTAAAATGCACGCAAGTGAAAATTCTTTTATAATAGTCAGCCTAGCATTAAATAAATTTCATTTACATATTTTA